CCATTGATATATATTTTTTTTTTATAAGAATAAGCATTGTTCCTTGAATTATGCAATAGACACCTAAATCTGAATTTGATTAATCAAATTATTTCATATTGACCTGTATCATGTTAATTTCTGATACATATTCGGTATCAAGATACTCCTATCGTTTTATTCTTCATTTTCCCTGCCTTTCAGCCCATCTGTCAAATAGTAAATGAGATTGGAACACCATGGAAACCCTCTCACGATGTTTTCTTTGAGCAAAATCCTGTAGCGACTTTTTAAAAAAAAATTTAAATCATCTCAATCTTTTTCTTTTCCTGTATTTGGGCTTTTAAATTTTGGATTTCTGAAAATAAGCAACTCTTATGAGGCTGTGTGTCCCTCGAGTGAACTAAGATGGCAATTAAATTCCAACATCAACACAACTACACTTTCAGTGAGGTTATGTTGCTCCATTCAATGCACAACTCTATGTCTACAAAAGGGGTTGATTTTATGTTCTAAGTCTCAAGTCATCCTAAAATCAGGGAACAGACTGAGGAAGTTAATTGTATCGACTACTAAAATAAGCCCAAAATAACTATTAGAAAATTTAAATCCACTCATTCTTCTTAAAACCTGAATATGGAATATGGACTAGGGCAGCAGGCATAGAAGATGAGGTAAAATAAAAACTTATTAAACAGAATTATTAGAAGGAAATTGATGTTTCTATTATAATTGTATTTTTCCTCTCCTTTAACTGTTTACAAGATATTAAAATCTTAAACTAGGGAAAAGCATATGAAAATCACAAGTAAAATGTAGTTTTCTATTATTTAGTAATTTTAACTTATTTCTTAGTTATCTAAACTTCAGTTAATTTAAATAATTGACTACTGAAGAGTATAAGGAAAAATTTGATGTGTAAGGTATTTTAATGCAAAAAAAAATCATTCCCCAAATTTCAATTGAAAATGGAAGCTTTTTGAAGTTCACATGAAAAAAATGTAGCTCTAATGTTATTAATTAACAAAGTTGTGACAAATGCCATACATAATTAAACCAAAGTGCCACAGAATCCCCAAAATAATAATCACAATTACAATATGGTGAATTAGTAGGAATACAAAAAACATACACCTACTTATTTATTTATTTTTAGTTTGACTATCACTTAAGTCTGAATTCCCAACAAAGAACTGGATGACACTGTAAGAGTAATAAAACTTATCCCAATCATTCATGACCTACAAGAAGTCTAATGAATGCCCCATAAAAAGCCTCTCTATTTATTTATATGTTGGTGATGAGCCCAGGAAGAGTAGGAGATTCCAAAAAACATGGGGCAATGCTGAAATGTACAAGGGTCTATTTCCTCATAGGCCCTGGCATTGCTCAACTCCCACTACGTCTCACTGGGAGAGGAGATGGAGCCCAGGAGACATTCCTGGACCAGGAGCCTGGAACTAGGCCAAACTATTGCTCACCATTTCTTTACCTTTGCATAAATTACAGCATCCATTGTTTCGGTTTTCTCCTGAGTGGAACATAAAGTGGGACCTTTATTCTACATGACCTTTAAGACTGCATCCAGCCCTAACTAACATTCTGCCTATCTAGAAAAGGTGCCCAACACCTCATGACACTTCCACGAGAGTCTATAAACCATCTAATGCCTTATCTAGTTGTAATAACTGTAGAAATAATACAACAAAGATTCACATACTCGAGTAAGAAAGTAGGGATTTGGGGTAGTTTCAGGGAGAAGAAGGTGGGTTAATCTTTCAAACACATTTGTAGAGAATGCACATATGGGCTGTCGATCTTCTCTGACACTAGTGTCGATCTTCTCCAGCTAGTGTCACTCATAATATATCTTCATGTTGAAACTCAAAAGAGGTTGGCCATACAAAAATGACCCTCATGTTACTGAAGAGACATTTTACCATGGGGATTTTGTTATACATTCTTTCGTGTTCAATAATTTTCACTAAGCCTGGGAAAGTATACTTGTTGGTTACGTGTTGTCTTTCTGTATTAACTTCAAAACGTGATACAACTGACGTCTTCTTTGAATTGCATGCTTAGCACTAAGTGAAACCAGTAGAGAAGGCCAAGTCTGTGACATGGAACTGAGGTTAGAATGTTAAGAAACAGAGTCTTAGTGTTACTCTGGACATTTCACCAGAGTCTTCATAATTTTATGTAAATTGTTGCCCTCCTGACTAGTTCCTGTCCTTCTTCTCTACCCCCTCCACGGGAAATTGCACTCCATAAATTTCACAGGCTAGAAATTCATTTGCGTGGCATATGACCTATTATCATATTATTAATGCATATCTAGTGGCAAATTTTTATCTATTTTGAGAAGGTCAAGGTCAGGGGATTTCAAGTATGGTTAATAATTGATAAAGTAATTTGAAATTGTGAGATATTGATAGACATGTTAACAGAATTGGAGAAAAATGTATAATTTTCACTTTGAGCAGTTTGTAGTATAATATTTGTTATAAAACGTGAAGTGTCAAAGGCCTAAAGCTTGGCCTCACTGAATGTATATTGCCCATTTATTTATTGTGCTGTGTTATAATAATCAAAACTGGACTACAATTTTTTTATAAGAATATAATTTGCTTAGCTTGTTTTCACTGCAGCATTAATGGTCAATTTTCGTAAGTGGCTCAAGTAATCTAGGGAGTAAGGTACTCATGCTTTTTTACAAAGTTTTCTGAGATATTGGCCAAAGAACGAGGGGTGGACATCAATTTTTATGATGTGTTTTTAATATTTACTTTAAAGGTACCACATGCAATAAATTGGATCTGTAGAAACTACTCACAGTGTAAAAGTTATTTGTTAGTCTACTGTTTCTATATTGGACAGAAAGTATAAGTGGTTGACTATTTTCTAGGTGATAAAGGATTTGCAAACATAAAATTGCCCAATGAACACAGAGAAACATTGAATAAGATACTAGGACTCATTACTATTTGGTGAAAAAGGTGAGGTTTACTTTTAATAAATATGTTTCACTTTATACCACATGCTCTATCAAACAGTATCTTTCCTAATATATAAGTAAATATTTATTTCTTATTTCATTAAGTTCAAATTGTGGCAGTGGTCAGAGCCTATGGATTCATAAATATTTGCAACCTGCATAAATAAATTAGTTCTGAGTGCCTATTATTCGTTCAATGAATAAGTGAAAGATGTGTTTTCTTTGTCCTCCACCAGAATAGTGAACTATTGGGTCAAAGTTATTTTGTACTTTTCTGCATTTTAAATATAATATTATGTGTTGGTCATGCGTATAGCAATTAATACCACCAGAAGAAAAAAATTGGGGACATAAAATATAAATCCCTCATGTAATATTTCTGTGAAATGTGTACATCTCCAAGCTTCTCTGCTCTCAGAAGAGTCTTTGTTACTTGTGTTGGGCTCCTTCATCATTGCTCTCTTCCAAACTCGTATGGAAACTGTGACCATCTTCAATCACCTATCTGAAAATCTGGATGGAACCCCAACTGAGTCACTTTGAGAAGGAGCCGAAAGATATCATCTTTGGTTCACAGCAATCCCTCCCTCACGATGAAAAAGTCACATGTATATTAAAGTATAATACAATTTCTGAAGGGAGAAAAATGACTTGCCAAGGGTAGAGGCATCTTCAGTCAAAAACCTACGAGCTCAAGTGAGTTGAATACATATCTATGACCACTCTAATTGCTCCACTGGAACTGATTTTGTGAAGTTCCAGGAAACTGGTACACTAACTTTTTGTCTTTGGTTTTTGTAGAAGATTTATCTACTTGTTATTTTTATTACAATGCACGCTGCCTATGTCAAGTATATAAGATTAATATAAATTTTCCTATTTGTTCATTTAGCAATTTTCACTTAGCTACAATTATTAGTATAGTTGGAGGAGTACACTAGAATAAATCTCCAAAAATGTACCACGAGATATTTTATAGCATTATTCTCACTGTGATGAGGTTGGGCTAAAGACTTGGGAAGGTAAATTTCTCTCTTACACACTCTTTTTATGACATCATTTTCAGAATGAACTGGCCCAAGGTTATGCCTGATCTTTGGTAGCCCCTCAGTTATGCTCACTGGTAATGACCACAAGCAAATGGTGTTCTCGAAGCAACTTCATGCAGGGATTGTGTCTCCCACCAAATAGACACAAGAGCAGACTCATCTAATTAGCAGAATCTCCCCTGGACTCGCTGTCTGTGCTTCTGGCACATTAAAAAAGCTGAGAAATGAACCAGGACCCTTGAGGCCCTTTCCCCATAAGTCCCTTGTAGAAACTTGTGGTCTCTAAGCAACAGCTCGACTGAGTGAGCCGGGAGAGGCTTGCTCTGAAAGTGGCAGCACTAGGAGCTGTGCTCAAATGGTCTCAGCTGGGAGTTGCTCTGGTGTGTTTTACTAATGGCATTTCAAAAGCAAGTGTCATGTACTAAAGTGATTCAGAGGTGTTTAGCCCTGAAAGCCGGGATTTCAGGGAAGGCTGTATCGTCGTCAGGAACCAGTCATCTGCTCTTCTGCTATGTCAGCAAAATCCACAGTGCAGAGAGGGTGAGTAATTTTCTTTTTATCCTTGAAAGCTTAGGATAATTATTTTTCACAGCCACATTAACTCTTACGATTAGCATCTTGATGGGATTTTCATACTTATCTGAGAGATTCGGAGAGTCTAGGTAGCTGCTATAAGTGCAAATTTATCAGGGAGGGACTCAGAACCATTTTTATTCAGTAGTTATTCTCTGAAATGAATTGTCAATCTTACATTCAAGCTTTGGAGAGAGGTGAAAAAAAGTTCTTATCACAGATCAGCAAAACAGGTACCTTTTCAATAGACTAAATTTGATAGTTTAAAAAATTTTGCTATTAAAAAACATCAGGTTTTCATCTTACATGACCCGGCTCACTGGTCTTCAGATCACCTTGGAGTATTGGCTTGCTGACCATCTTAGGCATGTAGCATCAGATAACTCAGCGGAATAGTTTTTATTTTTACTCAAGTGAACTCCACAATTAAGAACGGAAATATCTCTGCTGACCTGAGTTAGTCAAACTTCCTCAGTTCACATGGAAATCACCACTTCCCTTTAAACCTTATAGGTTTGTCATTAATGTCAGGGATGAAAAAAATTATATTTGATCCATTTTCTCTTATAATCCCTGCCAACTCACGTCCAGGAAAAGGAAGATAAAGCCCAGCAAACTCTGGTTACACGGTAAACTACAAGCCCCTGATGGCTCTCTGAGAGCAGCATCTATGAAATTCTAAATAATTGATATCTACAATCCGGTGCCTGTTCCTCTCCTGACTGCAAAATAGCTGAGTTCTTTTTAAGTGTATTTTTATCTCTTTCTTAAACAGTTTCTCATTTAGAGTCCTCCTTTTTCTCTAGGTTAAATGGAAGCCAGTCAGTGATCCCACTTAGTCTTCCCCACGTAGCTCAGAGGGATGGCCAAAGGGAGAAACATTGTCGACAACAAGAGATACCAACCAGAAAGACAGCAGTGATGTGACGTATACAACAGCTAGACCGGTTCCTTTGCTTCCCAAGCATTCCGTCTTCTCACATTTTCACTCGCACTTGTCATAGGAGCTGACTGGACTACATAAATACTGTAACTAATAAGAAGCCTTTTTTTTTACAGCACTATTTTAAAAATAGCTATTCAACATAACAATCTTAATTTTAATGCACCAAATTACAGTTTTCAACAATTTAATTGAGCATATCCTGTCACCCTCAGCACACATTTGATATATACTTGTTAGATACAGATGGATATAGCAATATCCATATTTGTCTACAGACACACACATACTCACACACACACACATACAGTAGAGCTACAAGGCCCTGCTTAATAGTGTGTCCTAAATATTGTGTTCCCTTAATTGTCACTGGGCTTATTTATATGGAGAGTTACGATGCCATTTGTAGAGTTTACTGGCTTTGTCCCTGTCAAAACCTTCCAAGCCACATAGCTTGTGGTGGGCCAGCATTATGTCTAAGGACAGACCCTGTCATCAGATAGGAGGGCTGAACCATGAAGGCTGGGGTAATGCCCACCACCCAGGTTCAACACAGCGTGGGCAACTGCTCTTGGTGCCCAGGCTTCTGCTACTGTCAGACCCAAAAAATTTTATTTAAATGTTGTTCATACGATTTGGATTCTATTTTTGTAAAACATAGATTCCCCCCCCCCCCCCCCAATTCAATAAATAAAGGACTTAGCCACAGAATCAAGGAAGCAGAACTCCCGTTTTTAACCTTCTACTGGGATTGGGGCTAGACTCGACCCATTTCAATTTTTACTGCAATTGGTCTTCCAGGAGGCAGAGGGCGCAATGACCCTCCAAGCAGGTCCGGGACAGACAGTCTTTCTGGTCAGCAGTGGCTCTCTGTGTGTCTGTGTGTCATTGAATGAGGCTGGAGCTGTAGCTGAATCCATAGCTGCTTGACCGAGACAAGGACTGCTGAGTCTCTTCGCTCTGCTCCGAGGTGTAGCTGGGAAATGTCTGCGCACGCGACATCTTCGATGAACCAAACCCATGACCTAGATGGAAAGAAAGGAAGGAAAGCTATACTAGGAAACAGAATCAGAAAAGCAAAAGGACATGTTAAACCAACAAACCAACAAACCAAGCAGAAGCCCTCAAATCCTCAATATTGAGCTGCAGGTACACAGGTAAAAATGGAGAAATTTGGTCCTTATTCCATGATAAGTTACAAATGTTGAGGGGGCCGGCCCCGTGGCATAGTGGTTAAGTTCATGCTCTCTGCTTCGGCAGCCCAGGGTTTGCAGGTTTGGATCCTGGGCTTGGACCTATGCACCACTTATCAAGCCATGCTGTGGTAGGCGTCCCACGTATAAAGTAGAGGAAGATGGCACGGATGGTCGTGTTAGCCCAGGACCAATCTCCCTCAGCAAAAAGAGGAGGATTGGCAACATATGTTAGCTCAGGGCTAATCTTCCTCACCAAAAAAAAAAAAAAAATGTTGTATTCATGGGGATGGCCCTGTGGCCTAGTGGTTAAGTTCAGTGCACTCTGTTTCAGCAGCCCAGGTTCAGTTCCTGGGTGCGGACCTACACCACTCATCAGCAGCCATATTGTGGCAGTGACTCACATATAAAACAGAGGCAGACTGGCACAGATGTTAGCTCAGGGCAAATCTCCTTCAGGAAAAAAAAAAGTTGTATTCAGGGCTCAATATTTTCCTCAAGTGTGTCTCATCAAAAATTTTGGATGCCAGAGAGCTATGTAAATTTTCTAGGGATCTCAAACTTCTACTATCCTTCAACTTTTGGAACAAAAGCAGAAAAAGCTTTTCAAAAAAAGCTGTTTTTGATAGAGAGCCTACAAGCTGCTTTCTTTTCTTTTGTGCTCACTTTCAGCATACAAAAGCAAATTACACACTCTCCTAAAACCTTTTTGAGCAGGCAAACTACACTTTATAACCAGTAACCATCAATTATCAGGAAAAAGCTGTCACGATGATAGCGTTCGAGGTCCTGGCTTATCCTAGCAGGTTTGTGAGTAACTGAACCTACTTCAAGATGTGGTTAACCGTAACGAGAAACCTTTATGGTTACTAAAATGGCCTAAAAGTTAAATCTTATATCAAATGTATTTAAAGAAAATTCTGTCTATGCTTTTTGCAGTTCAGATGCACCCCTGTGATGAGAAATTTGTCTAATGCAAAAACCAGAAATGATGACTGAAAAACTTGTCCGAATGCTGACAATGTAGGGAGAAAGCATGCATTCTAAGGCTTCAGATGAACTTTCCAGGGGTCTCTCCATCCATGAGAATGGTAAGTATCTAATGGATGAGTTTAGTGGAGAGAGAAGTGGAATAGATCCAGTGTGCTCTGCAATTTCAGAGTGTGTATTTCACCCAAAGGAAGAGATGTACTTAGTTTGATTTGTATTTTTTCTGGTCCCTGTGGTGAGGAATCCAGGGAAGACAATCTGTTAACACAGAAACATCGAGCATCTCGTCAGGCTCCTCAGGTGATGCTGTCCTTTGCAAGGTCATGCACTTAAAGCCAGTTTCATTGTCAGGTGTGTTTGGTGACTTGGAAAATATCCTTGCAGTGTGTGAAGCTTGGGATCCGGGGAGGAAATGCAAATGAATTGGGTAATAAAAAGCTAATTAAACTGGTAGAACCTCTTAATGTTAAAAAATTGTGATAGCAAAATCTTGCTTTCTAGATAAAAATGATTTTAGATTCACTGCAGGCCTGATTCTCTTGTGGGTTAAGACTCAACATGAGCAGATGAGGGGACGAGAGACGTGGGCATTTCCTCCTCGCGCCCTGTGGCCACTCCTGTGGTTCTGCTGCCCAGATGCCTTCTGAGCTTCCGGGCCTTTCTGCTCCCTTCCCTCCCTCTCCCAGGGTCCCCTCACCACATTTCCTCTCTTTGCCCCTTTGGGCCTGTGGGTGCTAATGCTTCTTGCTGTTGCCCGTCCTTCACAATTCCTTATTGGTTCCGTAACCTTACCCACAGCTCTTTCAATAGTCTCTTGGTTAAATTCTCCTAAAATCTCAGCTGAACACGTCTTCTCTTTCCTGTAGGACCCTGATGCTGCAAGGAGGAAAAATGGAGCTGGGAATAGGCAGGAGAGTGGAGAAGGCAGAGGGGAGCTTGGGGGGAATTAGGGTGGGAACTCAGAGCTAGAACACCAGAGACTCATGGTGCGTTTGCTCCTACTAGTAACCATTTTACCTCCTTATCTTACCATTGACTCACTAGATGATAATTCGCAGTTCCTGTGAGTAGAGATACTAGCATTTATGAGCATAAACCAGCTGGAAATTCTAATATGAAGATCATATCCCTGGCCTTAGCTTGTTATTTAAAAAATTTTTAGAACCATCTGAAAGAGACCATGGGCACACCTTTAATTCTCAGTACTTGTGAGCTAAAAGCTAAGGTTTAAGTTACGAATTCAGAGGAGCCTTTGCCTATGCCCACACAGTTTTTCACCCTAGAATCTTGGATGTAAAAATTCAGTCACGCAACTAATATTTGCCAAACATCTGCTAAAACAGTTTAAGACTCCACAGGGAAGACAAAGTGATGGGAAGTAGGGTCCCTGACTTTGCAGGGCTCACAAGCTGCTTTGGGAATGATCAGAGGAGGATAGACAATAGCAAACACCAAATGAAGGGTCCACACAGCCAGTGCTGTACAGGATCAGAGCAGGGTGCCAATGGAGCTTAGAAGAGCTGTGTTATAGAACTGCACGTGTCCATTCAACAATCACAAATAACTTCTCCACGGTGTGTGGACCGTGACCACCACCACCACCACCACCACAGGCTCCTGAAACAGACAGACTTGGGTTCAAAATGCAGCTCTGCCAACCCTTCTTGTGTTTCCTTTTCCAGCATGGAGAGAACATACCTTCCCAAGGTGTTTTGAGGATTAAACAAAACAACACATAGGAAGATACCTGGGATCGTAAGTACCCAAGAGACATTGGTTTTCTCCCTTCATTCCATGCTGTTTTTGTTGTTAGTGCCCATCGAGTCAATTCTGACTCCTAGCGACCCTGTGGACAGCAGAGCGGAACCCTGCCCGGTCTTTCTGTGCCATCCTGTCACCTTCCGGCTCTATCAGACAATGCTCTGCTGCTGTTCATAGGTTTTTCATGGCTAATTTTTTGAGAAGTGGGTGGCCAGGTCCTTCTTATTCTATGCTGAATGGGACCATATTTTTGTCAGTCTTCTTGTTTAATATCTATATTTTCTCCACCATCTCAGTGTGCTGTTCCTCACTATGACAGATTTTGAATGTTATTCTCCTTCAAGGTCAACATTGCTTTCTTCGTCTCCTCTATGAACAATTTCTGGTATAATTGGAAATTAAATTATGATTTTTATTACCTCAATCATTTCTTTACGGACAATTCACAAATGATGCTATTTAATATTTATCACAAATATAACATACCTCAATCAAAACTGTACATATGAAGGCTTAATAAATGCTGTTTGATTTTGGCAATGAATATGAGCACAAAAGAGAGAGATGATTAAGCATTTTCTCAACATTCATTTGAATGATGCCCTTAGGCACTGTTGATGAAAACAAAACAAAACAAAACAGAAATCAACTTTGTGGCTTAAATTAAAAACTTGCTGGAACAGACCTGTTCACTCCACTGAACAGAGACTCTATTAATTCCTTCCTAACATCCCCTCCAGATCACCCACTAAAGACAAGTAAGGCCAATATGTACCCTGGGGATGTGGGGGATGCTATAATTTAAAAGCAACAAATTTATTAACTATTAGTCTATCTTAAAAGTCCTTTTGAATTTTGGTTTCTATTCCATTGTATATTCATGTTTGTTGTCGTAAATAATATTTGCTATTCGTATTTTCAGGTAATATTGACAATCTGGGAAAAAACACATCTACTTCCCTGGTGGTTTGAAGTATACCCTGAAATGACACTTCATACCATTCTCCTAACCCGCTTCTGCCTATGGTATGCATACAAACCCCAGACTGAGAAACATACTTCCATTCCATAAAGAAGGAAATATATTGGATATAAAGACATTTAAAACATTTGCTTTATTCTAACAAAATTATATGACTCCTCCGAATTCTGGAAACTTAAGAGTACCACACGCCAAGAAAGGCGAAGTCACTCTAGCCATAAAGGGACGTCTTCTCTGCTGCATCATAAAAGATTCAAACCAGTAATAAACTAGAAGGAACACAAGTGCAATAGAAACTAACAACCAAATTGGAGTGTGAGACCAGAGATTCACATCACATTTAGAAGAAAAAATGGAGAATGACAGCACCTTATGAATATCTTGTCCTTCCTGAGGAATTAAGAAGCACGTTGTAGCCAGTACAGTCACCACTGCTCATTCCTTTCCTGCTAGCCTCTAGTTTTCTATACTTACTAACACTGATTGCATTCTTTACATAAAGTATAAACGAAATTGTTTTTGTAGGAAATCAGAAGGATCCCAAAGCATAAAACTGGTGGTTATTAATTGGTAAGAAGCAATGGCCCCAGTAAAGCAACTCAATTTGAATTTATGTGTTTTATTAGTTTGTTACAATTTGGGGGAGAGGAAAGAGTGTTGTCCCTTCAAATAATAAAATGAAATAAAACAAACAAAGCCGAAAAAAAACACAAAGAAGACAGTTGCCTTGCAAGGAAGGAAGCTAGCAGCCCGAGTAAAGGCATTAGCAACAACTGGGCCTAGATAGACACAGGGGAGATACCATCTTCCTTCAACAAGGTGTTTCTAGCCACTAGAAGGGAAAGGAGAGGGCAGATGGCAGCTCAGGCCTGGACGCTGAGGAGGGAATGGAAGAACGACTTGTGGTGCAAAACAGAGGTCTCTGTGGGCTCTCACTGCAGTGAATTGGGGCCAGAAGGCTTTCATGGGGTGTTTAATACTTGTATGCTCACCCTGCAGCTAGGTAGACGTTGAAACCAGCCTGGAGGTAGAGGCGACCGGGGCTGCCTACAGTATCTTAGGAAGAACCTGCATATACTAGTTATGCTTAGAAACGCCA